TTTCCATATATTAGTCCCTGTCATGAAGTGGAACAAATGGAGAATTACACTCCTCCAGAATGAAATATTTTTGAAGTGTTTTGATGCTATCAATGACTTTGGGGATATATTAGACCACTATGCAAACATAAATATACAATGGTGTAATTGCCCTGTCTTTTGCATGGGTATGAAACCTTTATGAGTCAAAGGCTGCATTCCTGTAGTGGCAAGTCATAGTGGAAAGTTGTATACTAGTAATGGACAGGGCCAAAGCTACACACAGGGAGCGCCTCAGCCAAAAGTGGGCAGAAAAAGAGTCATGCGCAATTAGTTCCCATTCATTCATCCCTCCATCCATCCCTCCATCCACCCACCTACCCTCTCCCGGAACTCATCCATTAATCTCTGTTTCACAAATAAAAAATCAATTCACATACAGCACATTTCAATCTTTTCTTTCTTATTGTCCCGTCCCCTATCCCATCTTCTGTAGAAAAGTAAAAATACTTTGCTTCAAATATATCTAGTGTTGAAATGTGTATTTATCTACAGAATAACTTTTTTTCATTATCCATGGATATAATTAATGCCAAAATTTTTGTCAGTGTGTGCATGTGGCTGGCTGTTCCCCTGAGAGTGTTCATGACAGGATTCCTACTTTGTCAAAATGTTATTCATGTTTCCACTCTGGAAATACGTGGGGTATCTGGAAAGTAAGGTTACAACATTTTTTTAAAAAATACAAAGAATGAATATATTTTAATAAAACTTACATGGATTATAGCATAGGTATTACATTATTTTTCCACATAATCACCATTCAACTCAATACATTTTGTCATCTGTGAAACAAGTTTTTGATGCCTGTGTCATAGAAATTTCCCTCCGCCTTTTTCAGCCAGTTTGTCACTTCAATTTTCTCTTCGTTGTTGTTGGAAAAATGTTTTCCACCTAGGTGTTCCTTCACTTTAGTGACCATATGATAGTCACTGGATGTGAGATTGGAGTTGTGAGAGAGATGGCTTAAAACACCCCAAGCAAATGAAGTCAACAACTCTTGTGTTGCATGAGCAGAGTGCAGTCGTGCATTGTCATATTGTCATGAAGGAGACAGACTATTGATGTCAGCATCCCACAACATTTGTTTTGGATGGCTCTGCGAAGTTTCTTCATGGTCTCACAATATATCCATACCCATTTTGTCACATGCTGTCTTGACATTACTGTCTTAACAGGACTGGGCTGTGGCACAGTTGGCTAGGAGTTAGTTGCATTAAATCATCACTGACCAAAAGATCATGAGTTCGAAGCCAACCCAGATCAGAGTAAACTCCTGACCATTTGTCTAGCTTGCTGTCGACCTTTGCACCCCAAAAGACAGTTGCATCTGTCAAGTAGGAAATTTAGGTACCGCATATGCAGGGAGGCTAATTTAACAAATTTACAATGCTATAAAAATCTCCAGCAGTGGGAAAAAAAATGAGGAAGTACTCCATCAAGAACTTGGTGTCACAAGTGGACAGTGAAGCGACAGCTCCCCTGGTGGCTGGAATTCGAGCATACCCTCCTGAAGCTGGAATATTAAATTGCCTCTGTGTTCATCTATATATGTTGTGTGTCTATGGCATTGAATGTTTGCCATGTATATGTGTATTGTTATCCGTTTTGAGTCCCCTGCAGGGTGAGAAGGGTGGAATATAAAGACTGTAAAAAAATAAAAAAATAAATAAAGTCCTCTCCATAAACTGAAACACTTTCGTGATGAATCGCAGTGGTGTTCAGGTCTTTAGCATTTAGGTATTGTATTACAGCATGAACTTCACATTTGGAGGGAAACGGAATAAGGATGCTCATCTCTAACCTTTACCACAATGTCAGTCAATGAGCTACTGATGACTGGCACTGCTTGTTTGCTTCCGCTGGCTTCCCAATACACGGCAGTGATACCAACTTCCCCCACGAAAGTTCCCCTTGAGAGCTATGTACCTTGTAACCTTACTGTCTGGATAACCCTCGTCCATTAAATATTGTATCCTACTGATACATATCCCCCAGCATCTTGGGTTGGCTTGAATGGGAGGGGATGAAAGAGAAAGAAGAAAAGGGGATGCTTCTTCTAGAGGGTGAGGTTAAAAGATGAAAGAGGATTCAGTAAGCTAAGACTATAAAAGTTAAAAAATATCTGCCAAATGACACATAATATAATGAAACTTTCAAAAGTATTTCTAGTGTTCTTTCATTTATTTCTCTTTTCTCTCCTTTTCCTTCAGTTGTCAATGATAGCTCATATTGTTATGCTATGATACTGTTTAACTACTTAACTGTATAATTTGTATATCTCCAGCCAAAAAAAATTAACCACCAAATTACTATCAAAAAGAAGAATCAACAAAATTATAGAACAGAAATATACTTTCTACACAATTTTGTAGAATGCTTGTGGTAGCAATTTGCTGGTGTCGGCAATCTTACTTCTCATTTTCCCTTTCCATTCCCAGCTACTTACTAAATATTTATCCAAGGAAAGGTGAAAAGAGAATTTCCTCTTTGTAACAATCCCCACCGTTTTGCAATCCCACGGTTGGAATGAATGGAATTCTCCTACTCAGTGGTGTAATTTTTTTTTAAAAGAAAGGACTTTTCAGATACTGTTTTAGCAGAACATTGTATAGAGCTTTGTATGGAACCTGAATGATAAAATAATTAAAAACACTGTTGCCTCAGAAGCCCAAATTACTATGAAAATAGTACATTCCTGCTGATCAGAACAGTGGAGAATGCGTAAGTTAAGATTTGCTTGACATGAGCCTGTCTGGCAAATTATAGATAAATACATATTTTCATACATTGTTTTCCAGGTTTTCATTTACCGCAATGCTTTCATTTGAAAAGAGAAGAATCCTCTTCAGGCTCAAATTTGTCGAATGCTAGAAGTATTTAATGCATATATAAATATAAATAATAACATCATAATTACTGTTGGCACTATAGTTAAGAACAAGACATTAACAGGCTTCGAAGACTATGGGTAGTATCACTTTTGCAATGTGACTATCTTAAGTGTTCTTGTCATGTACTTGGATTCACAGTAGAAAAATCAGATTTAAAACCTGAATAGGTCATGTGATTGCTCAAAAAAAAAAAAGCCATGGATTCATTTATCATTTCTATTGATATGGTTACTGAATATACTCCTCTTTCAGTTTGTCTTTTCTGGCGAGTTCCATTTAGCATATGTATACATAATTGAGAGCCAGTTCCAATATTAAGCCAGATATGTTTATTGAGTTGAAATGTAACTGGGCATAACACATGCCATAAATGTGTTCTCCATAAGTCTCACAAATGGGTTTATCTGTGCCTGTACATTTGGAACCTTTTAGAGGTTGTACATAAGCTTTCTGGTGTTAGCCCTGTTTCTAGGTGCTAAACTCTCATGGTTCCTGACTTAACCCTCCATTCACTGCATTGGCAGCATAGAAGGAACTATTTGAAGCTATTTGAAGCTGATCATCGGGGGAGGCCCTGCTCTTGATCCTGCCAACCTCGCTAGCTCGATTGGCGGGGATGAGAGACAGGGCCTTCTTGGTGGTGGCCTCCCGTTTGTGGAATGCACTCCCCAGTGAAATCAAGGCATCTCCTTCTCTCCTCTCCCTCAGGAAAAAAACCCCTCAAGTCTTGGCTTTGGGATGAAGCATTTGGCCAGCTGGCTGAGCAACAACTGTAATGACTCGTGAGAACTATCAATGGAGAGACCTTGGACTGGAACTCTGGACTATGATTTGGATTTGCAGACTTAGGCTTGGTTGTGTTATTATTTTAAGGGCCAATATTTTAAATGTATTTTAATTTATTTTGTACAGTTGTTGGCTTGTTTAATGTTAATTGTACTGTGATTGTTTTGTCGGCATCCAATGATTTCCAGTTGTAAGCTGCCCTGAGTCCCCCTTTGGGGGTTGAGAAGGACAGGATACAAATGCTCTAAATAAATAAATAAATAAATAAATAAATAAATGTTTATCTTTCTGGTTTTTCGTTTGGTCAGTTTCTGGTTTTTCCTGTGGCTGTTTGTGATTTGTCTTGGTATTCAATTATTCTTCTGGTAAATATGTTGGACATGATTTCTCTTTTGATCATTGGTTTGACTTGGACAATTTTTTTACTACAGGTAGTCTCCAGGTTATAAAAATCCACCTTACTTACAAATGACTCATAGTTAAGAACAGGGTGAGACAACAGGAAGTGAGAGAAATCAGTTAGATAAGAAGAGAAATTCACTCCTGAAAGAGTTTTCATAGGGAAAAGATGTCTCCACTGAAGCTTTACTATCAATTCTTGTTTCCACAAAAAGCCACATTTTTCATATATATGGTTGGAGTTACACTTAAAAATGTACCTGTTCTGACTTACAAACAAATTTAACTTAAGAACAAACCTACAGAACCTCTCGTTTGTAACGTGGGGACTGCCTGTACTCCTTTTTGGGTTGGCTTCTGAGATAGCCTTAAAATAGCTTCCTCCAGCTTTTAAAAGTGTGACCAAATATGCAGCTAAATCCCTAAAGTGTTATGGACATTCATGTTGCCTATTGTGTAAAGAATATGAATGGCACAATGTGAGATTGTGCGTCCATTGTATGATTCATCCCTCAAGCATCTAAGAACCATGAGTGTAGACTGAAGATACTTCTTTATGAGCAGACCCTTAAGCCTACTAATTCTGCTTTTTCCTTGGGAAGCATATTGCCTCATTTAGTCTTGAACCTGGTTATCTTCAGTTTTTCAAGTTCGGCTGGTGGCAGAAATGTCCCTCCTTGAATGTGAGATCAGCTGGGTGGCTTGGCAAAGGACTGCTCCTTGTTCAATGAAAGATTCATCAATCCATTCCAAGTGGTCACCTAAACAACCTGAACCTGCTCGTATTGACTTGCATCCTGATGTTCTCCTGGATGCTCTATGGAGACCAATGTTGACTCTGGCCTCACATCATACAGTGGAAAAGAAAAAGCACAAGAAAAGAGAATCAGTCTTGTTGGTGATCTATGATATTTGCTTGCCTCTTCTATTCCAACAATTTTGGAACCAGTCTTGTGGCCTACATTGGCTAAAGAAGGACCCTGGATTTGGAGGTGACTGGTGGAATTTCTACATCTTACTCCAATGCTTGAAGAGCAATGGCTGCCTTCTTTGCCCAAACCTTTGCAAATTGTGCAAGTTTAGATTGACTCCCCTTCTACTCACCATCACAATCCTTCTGATACAGTTCTGTTAGCTAGGGATGCATATTCCTGATGAAATTCTCCCTGCAGTTCCATCTCCTCCCTGCATCATTCTTCATTCTAGCATTGCTGGTTGTTCTCTTCCTGCTCAAGTTTATCTTCTCTCCTCTTATTCCACTTTGCAGGATAAAATCACCTCTTTGGTACAGAAGTAATGCTTATGGTAAACACAAGAGTAGGCATGATTGATGCAGACCCTTCAGATATACATCTTATGATATTCCATTGCTTTCTTTTGTCTGATGCCTATTATGAGGGTTTCAAACTGGGAATCTTGTATTTTATGTAACTTTCCACTACTATGATCCCTCTGGCCACTGTCATACCCATGATTGCTATTGGGCATCTCCTTCTGGAGCTCACCTCATATGATCTTCATGTGCCATTGCTAAATTTCTTGGTTTTAAGCCTCTGTTCTCAGATGAACTGATATTCAGTTTCCTGAATCACATTCAGCGACCCAAGCTGGAGAACCTGCCTGTCTAACACTTCTACCTGTGGATTCACAGATCCAGTCTCTGGGTCAAGACCTTATCTTAACTAAACAGGTTCACTCTGCCTTGATGATGTCTGAAATTTCTGATTCTTCATCTACATCAGGGGTCCTCAAACTTTTTAAACAGAGGGCCAGGTCACAGTCCCTCATTGTAATTTGAAAAAAACATGAATGAATTCCTATGCACACTGTACATATTTTATTTGTAGTGCAAAAAATCCACTTAAAAACAATACAATTATTAAAATGAAGAACAATTTTAACAAATATAAACTTATTAATATTTCAATAGGAAGTGTGGTCCTGCTTTCGGCTGATGAGATGGGATTGTTGTTGTTGTTGTTGTTGTTGTTGTTGTTGTTGTTGTTGTGTGCTTTCAAGTTGTTTCAGACTTAGGTTGACCCTGAGCGAGGGCCGGATAAATGACCTTGGAGGGCCGTATCCAGCCCCAGGGCCTTAGTTTGAGGACCCCTGATCTACATATTCTGATTTGTCTGTAATGTGTTCCCCTCCAGTGGTTTTGGGAGAACATGACTTGTCATAGCCTACAGATAGTTCCATCTTTTGCAACGCAAATGCTTAGATATCCAAGTGAAAGATCAAGAGACCAATCTAGCAAACCTGGTATACAGTGAGATTCAGGGCAATATACACACACTGGCTTTGATCCTACTTCTTTCATCACTCCTTAAAATTGCACATCAATGATGGTCAATTCCACCCACAATTCCATCTTATTGAAACCACCCAGCTCCCTCAATCGCACCTCATAGGACTTGCATAGCTAGATGCGAGTGATGCAAGAAGCCACAAAAATTCCACAGCTCATCTCCTTGTGCCTGTTCTGGGCATGAAACACAGATATTTTGTCTGGAATGAGCTGTAGAAACCAATTGCTGTGAAATTCTTGTGGCATGCATCACTCTACTGCTCAATTATTTTTGTTGCATTATTCACTCTTGTGAATCTATTTTGGGGGTGTAGCTCACCTTGGGTAGCTTCTTTGAACCTGCAGATTTACTGTCACCCTGGCCTTAGAGCCACCAGCCTCCAATGCATTCGGAAAAGTGCAGTCCTCCCGATGTGGACAGACTGTAATTTTCAGTGTTCCCCACAACTTGTTATGTCAGCTAGGATTGATGCCAATGCTTTGACCGTCTCTTAGTTTGACATTCTATTATTTATATTATATTGCTATTTTGTGCATTAGATTTAATGTAGGATTTTTTCCGCATTGTAATTGTGATTTGTAAACTGAGACTGAACTGCAACATGAAATATTCAGAGTAAATAAACATATGCACATTTATAAATAAAGGAAATATTACCAAAACAATAATTACATAGGTTTGCAGTACTGCTTTTCCCAAAAGAACTCAAAACTTGAATAATCCTGCTTCCCAAACTTCACACTGATTGTGGAGCGGGAACAAAATGTATTCATGAATAACATAGCACTGAATGATACCAAAGCCAATACTATACAGGGACTTTTTGAATTAGGTTAAAGAGCTGGAAAGCATTGCTTATCTTTCTGGAAGATTCATATGTTCTTTTTTTTTTAATCCTTATCTACTTCCCAATCCTGCTTTCAGGTATATTAATCATAATATATTTCAGTGTGAATGTTAGAAGGAAGAAATTCCAAATCTCCAAATATAATTCTTCTGACAACAGATCTGGCATCAAGAAGGGTGGGATTGTTATCAAAATAGGCAAAGGCAGTGACAGAAGAATAGGCTATCATTTGGTACCTCTCAAAAGTCTTGCTGTTACTCTATGGAAAATATTGTGAGAAGAGATTTGTGAGAAGAGATTTTGGTTCTAACCAAATGTCTAGCAAGAATTATAGACATTTAGAATAAAAGCATTATAAGTTTACAATATGTCCCGGACACTTAGGTCTCCTGTGGGGTGGCTACTCCAGTCAGAACCTTGTCTTTTATCCAACATATCCTGGTAATTTAGGCAATTTTCTTCACATATTATTTCCCTTTTAAAATGTGTATATAACCCATAAAGCCATTTTCTGATGTAATTGAGACTTATATCTGTTCCAAATTATCAATAAGGCATGTCTCACAAAATTATTAAAATCTGCTTTCATTTTAGCTTTATTGTGCCACAAATATCCATGCCAACCAAACTTCAAGTAATTTCTTTTCAGTTTTAATAAACTATTGTTTTTCTGTTTTAAACAATCATCTTTATTGAATATTTTTCATACAGAACAAAACCCGAAAAGACCAGAAAAGAAGAGAGAGAAAAAAGTAAAAAAAGAGAGAGAGAACAGAAGAAAGTTTTGTATGGACTTGATTTCTGTCCAACAAAACAACAATGTATGTGCGTGATGCAGATGAAGAATCAGAAACTCTGCCTCAGAGTAGATTATTTCAAGCTGTATTACTATGTCAAAAATATTCCAAAATTCACAGTAGTAAAAGTACAATATCAACAGGGGTAGCTTGGTATTTTTGTACCCTGTTTCGGGGAAAGAAATCCCCTACTTCAGGAGCACCCCTGTTGATGCCATTTGGACTTGCGAAGGCGTATCTTGAGAGCGGTGCTCCATTATCACTAGAATTTACTTCGATTTTACTCACGAAGACATTTTTGAGAGCAGTGCTCCTTCTTCATTTCTGCATATAGCTTCATGACTCGTCATCTGCTTTCTTCGTTTGAAAGGTTTTTTCATTGAACATGTATCCCTGAAGCCTATATACATTGGGATCTATATCAGATTTAGAACTGTTATGTTTGAGAGCATCTGCTCCTTTTCATTTTGCTTTATGCCACTGTATTGAGCTGTGTACTGGGGATTTTGGTATAACTGTATACTATATGCTCTTTGGATATTATACTTTCTTCTTACATAGATTGCTTTGTGTTTGTTCAGATACCCAACAAGTGTTCTGGGATATTGTATAATAATAGGTGTATTCTGTAAAGCAATGCTTCTCCAAGTCATGATCTGTGGATCAGTGCTGATAATTTAACCATTGACTACTGATCTCTGGCAAATTTCTATAAATCGGTGGTTCTCAACCTTCCTAATGCTGTCACCTCTTAATAGAGTTCCTCATGTTGTGTTAACCCCCAACCATAAAATTATTTTCGTTGCTACTTCATAACTGTAATGTTGCTACTGTTATGAATTGTAATGTAAACATCTGATATGCAGGATATATTTTCATTCACTGGACCAAATTTGGCACAAATACCCGATATGCCCAAATTTGAATACTGGTGGGGTTGGGGGGGGGGGCAGGTTGATTTTGTGATTTGAGAGTTGTAGTTGCTGGGATTTATAATTAACATATCATCAAAGAGCATTCTGAACTCCACCAGTGATGGAATTGAACCAAACTTGGCACACAGAACTCCCGTGACCAACAGAAAATACTGGTGGGCATTGGTCTTGAGCTTTGGAATTGTAGTTCGCCTATATCCAGATGGATCTGGACCAATTATGGATCTGGACCAAATTTGGCATGGATACTCAATATGTTGAATGGTGGAATTTGGGGAAAATAGATCTTGACATTTGGGAGTTGTAGTTGCTGGGATTTATAGTTCACCTACAATCAAAGAGCATTCTGAACCCCACCAATCAGGCATGTAGCCGGGGGGGGGGGCCTTGGGGGCTTCAGCCCCCCCCCGAAATTTCCATGGTGGTTTGCGAAAAGGCCTTACTGGTGCATTATTTAAACTGTTATGTTTATTCATATCATGATCTGATCACCATACTCAATATATCCCATATGTATGGGGGTATTGGGGTAACAATACAAAAGGTTTGCTAGGGTAGACCCTCTTTCACTCAGACTCAGCCCCCCTCCGAAACAAACTCACCCCCCCCCCGGAATCGAAATCCTGGCTACGGGCCTGCCACCAATGAAAGAATTGGGCCAAACTTCCCAAACAGAACCCTCATGACCAACAGAAAATACTGTGCTTTTTGATGGTCTTTGTTGACCCTTCTGACACCCCGTCATGCCCCCCTCCCAGGGGTCCTGGCCTCCAGGTTGAGAAACACTGCTATAAATGAAAGAACCAATGGGTGCAAACACAATACCAGATATCAGGGTCTTTTTTTGGGGAGGGGGGGAGAGGGGGCTGGTCCCTCACATCTGATAGTCTGAGATAGGCTGCTGTAAATAAACTGGTGTGGAATATGATTATATTTACCTTAATTCTACTGACATTTTATAGAACAATCAATTCCATCAAGCCTAACTAGACTAGAGGTGTTCCTTGAGCACATTATTGATTCATCACATTTAGATCAAGTTTTTTCCATTGTACCTAAATACCTGTTCCGTGAAAGAAAACAAAACTGCCTTAGAGTAATCTTTAATAAGAACATATATTTGATAAAAAGCAAGTGAGACAACATGCTTTTAAATAATGTGTTTTATCTCGAAGTTTGATAGTACTTACGGCATTGCTTTGTATTGGTTTCCTGCTTCTGGGAACAGCTTGCAGTCACCGAGATTTCAGCGCTGACAATGGCATGCTCTTGTTTTCATGGCTAAATGCCCCCTAGGGGTAATTCTTAAAGCTACAAACTGTCTTTTGCAGTTTTAAAAAATCCCTTAAAGAATATCCAGTTACAGAGTGCTGTGCTGGGAGTACCTGGGGAAATAGTAAAAGGAAACACAGCTGAGAGCCACTGTGGTTTGACTTCACTCCAGATACTTTGAAACTATGTTGGCAAAAACAAGATTTTAAGTAAAACTGTTTCCTTTGGTAACATACCCAGAACTGCAGGTTTGACATTTTTGTACTTTATATGTATAGGCCAAAGGGGAAAAGGACTTCTTTGAGAATGCCACACATACCGTATCAGGAGAGCATTGTAGGAAAAGGATAAGAGAAGCTGATCAAAACCATGACTGTTAAGCCTGTGCCATCAATGAAAACAATATTTCAATACTCATTACTAAATTGGGAGGGTGGGGGTCGTTTCTAAAGTGTTTCTATAATATCATAAGAGGTCCGCATCATAAATATAATGACATAAGCACAGTCAAAGCACCCCTGGCAGATGCCCATTCAGCCTTTGAAATAATAATAATAATAATAATAATAATAATAATAATAATAATAATAACAATAACAACCTATATAAATAAAAATTTAATGTTTGTTTGTGGGATTAACAAACATAAACCACTGGATGAATTGACACCAAATTTGGACACAAGACACCTATCAGGCTAAAGAGTGACCATTACTCATAAAAGCACTGAAAAACACAGCAGAAGAGACTTTAAAATCCAAGAAATAAAAAATACTTTACAAAACATGCGCAAAACCATATACATATACACGAATATATACACACACATATATATACACACAAAACACATATACACAGACTGGGCCACAGCAGCGCGTGGCAGGGGATGGCTAGTAATAATAATAAAAATAAAAACAACTGGAAAAATCTGACATGATATGAGGATTTAAAGATCAAACTGCAAAGACTCTAGCACAGTGGTTCTCAACCTGGGGTTCCCAGATGTTTTTGGCCTTCAACTCCCAGAAATCCTAACAGCTGGGATTTCTGGGAGTTGCAGGCCAGAAACATCTGGGGACTCCAGGTTGAGAACCACTGTGCACAAACCAGTAAAGGTAGTCCCAGTGGTGATTGGCACACTGGATACAGTGCCTCAAAACCTTGGCCTGCACTTAAACACAATCGATGCTGACAAAATTATCATCTGTCAGTTGCAAAAGGCCACTCTACTGGGATCTACACACATTATTCACTGATACATCACACAGTCCTCGACACTTGGGAAGTGTCCGACGTGTGATCCAATACAACAGCCAGCAGAATGATCATGTTTGCTGTGTACTAATCTTGTTGTGTTTCAAATAATAATAATAATAATAATAATAATAATAATAATAATAATAGGAAACCTACTAGGTAAACTTTGGAGTTATTGCCCCACAACTTTGCCTTCCTCACAGGGTTGATTCAATTCCCAACAATCCCTTTTTATTTTGAAATCCCTTTAGAGCAGTGGTTCCCAACTTTTTTGACCAGGGACCACTTGACCAGGGACCACACTCCAAAGGATTACCAACCAGTTTTTGGTCAACTTTAGATTCAATTTAGTTATTTGGGATGCTGATTCAGAAAATTGCATTGGCTAGACCACATCAGCTCTAGTTTCTGATAAAGAACATATGCCATCCAGTACTTGCCATCTGCTGGAGATCTGCTTACCCACAGAACACTATAAGTGGGTTTCACAAGACCAGTTGCTCTCGTTGCAATGGTGTAGTAATAGTGAGGCCACAGAGCAGATTTTAGTTCTTGTGAACCCATGGACAAAGGTTGGGAACCACTGCTTTAGCTAATGAACATTGATTTTTCCCCTTTCAGGGAGGAGGAGGAGGCACAACGCGGTAAGCAGAATTCTTGGAAATGCAGTTTGGGAAGACAAGGACCCCTGTACCAGAGAATTCGAAAGGCCCTGCCCTAAACTACGTTTTCCAGAATTCTGCTCACTTCCCATGTTACAGCCTCCGTGTGAGTGTGATCTCTGCCTGTCTCTCTCTGGGCCGGCTATGTGCCGGAGGGGCTTCTTCCTTGCCCAGCCATCCAGTCAGACAGTTTGCTACCTGGACCGTGACTAAGTTCTAATCCCCAAGTCAAAGGACAGTACTTAGGGCCAAGCATTTTGCATTTTGGTATGTTGTAAACTACCTAGCTCTATAGTATGTTGTAAACTGCCTTGAGCCTCTCCCCCCCAGGGGTGAGAAAGGCAATATATAAATACAGTAAAATAAATAAACAAATAAATAAATAGATTTCATATCTAAATAAATATCTTTTAAAATTGCACAATAATTTCCCATCCTGCTTTGCAGTAAGAGATCAATAATATGCTGTCACGTCATAGCACTCCAAATATGTTACTTGAGGCATTATTTATTCATTCACATTTTTATATTCTATTGTTTATCTAAAGATTTCAGAGCGGTACATAATAAAATCAACACAATCAATTTGAACAATGTAAATAATGAAATTATTTTAAAAGGCCAAAAAACTAATTAAACAACTAACAAGTTAAAAGAAGACAAATTAAAACCAGTTATAATTCCAAACCATGCACACATGTGGAGCTGTGCAACACTCACTAGGTTCCAAGGGCTTTAGTAAACAGTCATGTTTTGAATTTTCCCCCCGGATGACAGCAGTGTAGGCACCAACTCCGGCTATGAGGACATGGTATTTCATAGCTGGTGTGCCGTCTTGAAAAACAACGACTGAAAAGCAGCCTCCTTCCCTTAGTTTCATTTCCCCTCTCCCGGCCCCATATTCCTTCTGGCATTTTAATTAAACCTGTGGTGACTGGAGAAAAAAGGGATCTAAGAATTATGGCAGTGGCTCCGACCACTGCTACTCTGGTTAAAACACAGAAGGTGACACAGGGATGAAAAAGGGGAAAGACAACCTGTAGCTATACTTATACCTTTCATAATCAAAATTAAGAAGCCGAAGCTTTTGAGCAGCTTAGAAAGTAGGCTTGAACATTAATTTGATAATGTTAAGCATTAGTTATTCAGAAATCAATTAACTGCAATCAACACTAATAACTGTAATGTTTAGTTGTTTAGCCTTTATTCAACTTGATATCAAAAACAGAATTCAGAGAATTGCATAGAAAAATTGAAATGCAAAGATACAGAATGGGGGGTGCGTGGCTCAAGAGCAGCATGTCTGAAAAAGATCTTGGAATCCTCGTGAACAACAAGTTAAACATGAGCCAACAATGTGATGCGACTCCCTCTCTCAGCTCCAGCTACAATGAATCTTAGTCATTGTAGAGATATGGCTATGTCTGCAGCTCTTCTGAAATAAGTCTTTTTTCTTCTAAAATAGCAATCAGGTTGAAGTGCCCTATAGTAATTTAACATTATGCAGATATGGACTTTGTTAGAGTTGTGCTTTCATCAATATCTACTTAACTTGGAACCCTCTGCTATGTTGTGCCTCCCTCTGACGAGCAGCAGACATAGCCAAGCCACAAGTATGAATGTTTGAGGAGTAATCCAGCACAAAGGCAAACAGGTTGCTTTCTGGAAGCAATGCTGGAGACAGCTTGTTGAAGGCACCCATCCCAGTTCTGATGCATTGCTTGGAACTTGGTGAGTTCAAGCAGTGGGTTCTTTCTACACATTCTTCTACCATTTGGACAGGTTTTCTCAGCTTCTTGGCCACTGGACTATTTTGATTCATGCCAATCACATTCTGCAAAAAGTTTTTTTAACAGATAATAAGAAATTACTTTCAAGGGAGTTTCCCAAGTCTGAAGGGAATGTAGTAGAACATTTTCAACTATTTCAGAATCTAACACAAGAATTCAGCAGACATAGTAACAGACAGAGACAAAGAAACACTGCAAGCCCATCCAGAGGTCCAAGAATCTAAATAAATCTATGAGCAGGAAGTGCACATAACTGGGGAAAATGAGCAGTTGGAAACAATGAAAATACCCAGCACTTGCTGTGAGATTAATATGCACTTGACTTTGGGTTGATTAATTGTTCTTATTTAAGAGGCACTGATTACTAAAAACTGTTCCTTGTTATGGAGATATTCCATAAATGATGGGTGTATTTCTTCAGTGTCCTCCAACTAAATTTGTGAACCACTGTGCTGGAATTCATCATCAGCTGCCTTAGCTAGAAGATGCTCAGATTTAGTGAGGAGGAACCGCATTTGGAACCCGAGGCCTTTTAATATCTAACTCCTCTCATCCAATTCCTTAGACTTTATGGGATGAGTTATAACATTTGAGAGATTGGGGGAGATTGGAGAAGCTATTCAAATGGTGCACAAACTTCAAGAGAGGAGATTCCATCTGAACGTGAGGAAGAACTTCCTGACTGTGAGAGCCGTTCAGCAGTGGAACTCTCTGCCCCAGAGCGTGGTGGAGGCTCCTTCTTTCGAAGCTTTTAAACAGGGGCTGGATGGCCATCTGTCAGGGGTGCTTTGAATGCACTACTCCTGCTTCTTGGCAGGGGGTTGGACTGGATGGCCCATGAGGTCTCTTCCAACTCTTTGATTCTGTGATTCTATGTCTAAGATCCCAACTCATAGATGACTTCTAGAAGATCCATCGTTGTCAGGTACAGCCTGAAAAGCCTACAACAACCCAATATGTGGGATGTTTATATATTGATCTATTAATCACAATATTCCAAAACTCAGCTCTTTACCATTCTTTCATGGGACTGTTTCCTGTCCATCTACATTTTCACGTATACTGTGGATTTCTTGTTTAGGATGGTTTTCTGGATAGACAAAATACCCGCCTAAATCTATTCGATCGATATGCACTAGTATAATTCATAAGAATAACTTCTAAGAATGTTATGAACTTTCTTTTTCTTTCTTTCTTCTGGTAGTGTGATTTAAAAAAAGGCTGTTATAAAAAAGAGCAGGAACTCTTTCTGCTGCAACACCTTTGTGGCGGTCTCCCTTGACCTCACATTTGGGTTGGCAAACAACCCAAATGTCATCTTTAATCAGTAACTAGAGGTTCCCCATGCCGTCTGGGTCATCTTCCTAAATGAAAATTTTTGCTGACAGAATGGAATCTTTCTATTATCCATTATCACTGATAGGCACTAATAGAGGGATCACTTTCCCTGCCAACTGGCTAGCTAAATCACAGAACCTTCCCTATGATTTCAACTTAGTAACTGTAGATTGCATTACCATACATTTTCCTCATTCAAGAGTGGGGTTTTGTGGACAGGCATCCTTTGGATGAGCCTTATCAAAACAGCTTGTAAACACATCCTTTGGATGAACCTCATCAAAACAACGTATTGTCAAAGGCTTTCATAGCCAGAATCGCTGGGTTGTTGTGAGTTTTCTGGGCTGTATGGCCATGTTCCAGAAAGATTCTCTCCTGATGTTTCACCTGCACCAATTACACACACCTTCAGAGGTTGTGAGGTCTCATAACTTCACAACCTTACAACCTCACAACTTCACAGACCTCACAACCTCTGAGGATGCCTGCCATAGATGCAGGCGAAACATCAGTAGAGAATGCTTCTAAAACATGGCCATACAGCCCGGAAAACACACAACAACCCCTTTATCAAAACAGTTCATAAACTGGATCTCCCCCCCCCCCTCCTTCAAGTGTTACCTTGATAAATTATTGCTTATGAAAATTGATCCTAATACTGCCTGTGTGAAAAGTGTTCTGATTGGTTGCTGAAACAAACTAAAAAGATCCAAGCAGGGCCAAAGCGAATCTGGACGTGATAGGGCATCACACCCACAGAGGCTGATTGGGTGTATCTATTTGTCTTTCGCCCAGAAAACAGATTCCCATTTAGTTAGACTCGCCTAAGGCTTGGAATCGAACCTGGCAAATGATTCTTTTAAAATCCATAAACATTAAGCATATTTATGTCATAGCATTAAGCTTAGTCAGTCTTGAACCTTCCCGTATTGTAGTATAAGAGACATCTTGTTTGCTTTTATTTACTTTCTCAGTAGTAAATGCATTTTGGTTAACCACAATGGCAAACTTAGTCAAGGCATTTATGTCAACAAATCCTTCATCTCAACAAAGTAACATTCTTAGTTTCTAGGGCAGCAGACTGGATTCTAAGTAATAAGGTGTTTATAAGTCATGCTGTAAATCTGGGGTTATAAACATGTCTACTTTTCTATTAAACCTGCTGCTGTGCTTGAGGCACAATAAGCTCTCTTTTAAATTTTATGGTGGCAAGCATGTTGGTTTTCCAGTTCTGATTGCTGTTGATTTAGCAGTTGCCAAATTCTCCTGCTAGGCTCTTGACCTAAGTCAAGTTCCCTAGTGATGTCATAAGATACCTTAGAATTTAGTAATTGATGGTTCCTGCTGGGAGCCAGTAAGAGGTTCTCACATTTCCCCATTTACCAGTCTCCCTCCTCCTGGTCCTTTTGTTGTAGGAAGTTTTCAGAAAAGCATTAAGAAATGGGTACATTTTTCACCGCTGACTTCTAATTAGTCAATTTCCAAAGTAAATACATTCTGTGCAACAAAAGTTGGAATCTGGAAAAAGTTTTATGGGCACATTCTTTTGAATTCTCCATTTTCACACATCCCCAAAAACTTTAGCAACAGTGGAACAGTTCTTGGAAACTTACTCACCCACTAATTCTTAATCTGCTTATTATGCTCAGTGAGCAATCAACAGTTGCTAGCATCATCTTTCATGGATGACAGTGAAAAATCTATTTGTAAAGGATTGTCAGAAAGGCAATTCTGTGCAAATAGAGCTATAGGTTGGGTCGCTTAAATGACCATCCACAACTTCCTTGGTGTCTGTGCTGTCACACGCTGGGCCTGTGCATAAGACTGTAGACAGGACATAAATTCTGTGTGCCCAACGGGATGCCGGGGCTGCCTCAGGATTAAAAGCCTTTGGATTTCCTTAAAACAGAGTTTTTAGATTGCTTAAAGGTTCAACAAAGTTCTTTATTATTGAAAACAAACAGGTACTTCAAGGCTTTCTTAATAGTCTATTGGCTCTCTCAATCTTGTCCAGTGGGAACAGGCACTATCTTCATAACTGTAACTAATGTGGAAATCCTTAACTTCTAATCTGGGCAGTCTGTCTTTGTCTCTGATGGCGTGGAGCCCCTACACCTGGTACCAACTGCTTCTGGTTTCCGCGAGTGACCCTTACCAAGCAGAGCTTTGTAGACTTCCAGGGAAAAAGGAGTTCAGGTTTCAGTGATGGCTAACTGAAGTCTCTCAGCAAAGGAGCTGTAAGGCTGTATGATCCTCGGCCAAGCTGTGGGCTGTATAACCCCGGCCAAGCTGTAGAAGACGAAGCTTTCTACAGGAGCTCTTGGTTTTATGTCCTGTGTGAAAGGCTTCTCTGTGTGGACTGAACTCAAAATGGCTCCTATTCCCTCTAAAACCCCAAAAGGGGGCGGGACCAGGGAATCTAACTATAATTGACAGGTGGCTTGCCCTATGATTGCAGCCAAAAGAAGCCACCTATCTGCAGAGTCTCTGAAACTTAGGACTATAACGAACATTCAATGCAAAGCAAACAAAATTGGAGCTCCTGGTACAGCTGTACCTGCACAGTGTCAGCATATGCAAAACCAATCCAAAACCAAAAACTCCCACCAAATATATCTGTTACCATTCATTTCTGAACTCACACATGTTCTTAAAGTCTTTGGAGAGGTTTTTTGGAAAGTATAAGGGTTCTTGGAACAGTAGAAAAATCTTCTGTGATAGAAAGCTTCAAAAGTAAGGG